GGTTTTTGTATGGACATAAGTTTTCAGCTCATTTGGATAATACTTAGAGGAGTATGGTTGCTGGATTGTATAATAAGGCTATGTTTAGCTTTATAAGAAATTGCCAAACAGTCTTCCAAAGTGACTGAAACATTTTGCATTCCCACCAGCAATGAAGGAGAGTTCTGGTTGTTCCACATCCTCACCAGTATTTGGTGGTATCTGTATTTTGGGTATTAGCCATCCTAATAGGTGTATAGTGTCTTCTCATTTGTTGATTTAAATTGCAATATCCTAATGATATCTGATGTTAAGCATCTTTTCATATATTTATTTGCCATCTGTATCTTCTTCAGTGAGGTGTCTGTTTAGCTCTTTTGCCCATTTATTGTTTGGGTTGTTCATTTTCTTATTGTTGAGATTTAAGAGTTCTTTGTATATTTTGGACACAAGTCCTCCCTCAGATATGTGTTTTACAAATATTTTTCCTCAGTCTGTGGCTTGTCTTTTCACTCTTTTAACAGTGTCTTTGCCAGAGAAGAATTTTTTACTTTTAATGAAATCAAACTTATCAATTTTTTTCTTTCATGGAGCATGCTTTTGATGTTAAAAAATCACTACCAAACCCAAGATCACCCAGATTTTCTTGTCCTGTTGTCTTTTAGATGTTTTATACTTTTTCAATTTATATTGAGGACTTTGATCCATTTTGAGTTATTTTTTATGAAAGATTTAAGGTTACTGTCTGCATTCAGTTTCTTGCAAGTTGATGTCTATCTGTTTCAGCATCACTTGTTAAAAAGATTATCCTTTTTCCAAAGAACTGTCTTTGCTCGTTTTGTCAAAGGTCAGTTGACTTTATTTGTGTGGGTCTCTTTCTGGACTCTTTATTATGTTCCACTGATCCATCTGTTATTTCAACAACACCACACTGTCCTGATTACTGAAGTTTTATAGCAAGTCTTGAAGGTGGGTATTGTCAGTACTCCAACTTTATTTTCTTTCTCAATATTGTGTTGGCAATTCTGGATCTTTCGCCTTTCCATATAAACTTTAGAATCTTTTTGTTAATTTCCACAAAGTAAAATGATGGAATTTTGATTGCTATTATATTCAATCTACAGATCAAGTTGGGAAAAATGGTAATCTTAACAATATTGTGTCTTCTTATCCATGAACATAAAATATCTTTCCATTTATTCAATTTCTTTCCTGAAAGGTTTGTAGTCTTCCTCATATAGCTCTTATACACATTTTGCTAGATTTTTATGCTAGGAATGTCGGGTCTTTTAGTGCTAATGTAAATGGCATTGCATTTTTAATTACAAATTCTAGTTGTTCCTTGCTGCCATATAGGAATGCAATTGACTTTTATATATTAATGTGTATCTTCAACCTTGCTATAATTGCTTATCAACTCCAGCAGGGTTTTTTATTGATTCTTTGTTTTTGTTTTTTAACATAGATACTCATGTCATCTGTGAAGAAAGGAAGTTTTAGTTCTTCCTTCCAAATCTATGTGTCCTTTTTCCATTTCCCAGCTTATTACATTAACTAGAACTTCAAGTACAATGTTGAATTGGAGTAGTGAGAGGGGACATCATTGTCTTGCTTGTGATCTTAAGGGAAAGCATCTAGTTTCTCTCCATTGAGTATTACGTTAGCTGTAGATTTCTGTAGATGTTCTTTATGAAGTTGAAATTCCCATCTATTCCTAGTTTGCTGGATAATGATGGATTTTGTCAAATGCTTTTTCTGCATCTATTGATATGATCATGTGATTTTTCTTCTTTAGCCTGTTGATGTAATGGATTACATTAATTTATTTTTGAATGTTGAAAGAGCATTGCATACATGGAAATCCCACTTGTCTGTGGATTTTTCCCACATTTTTGGATTCAACTTGCTATTATTTTGTTGAGGATTTTTGCATGGGACATATTGATCTTTAGTTTTCCTTTCCTGTAATGTCTTTGTCCGGTTTCGGTATTAGGGTAATGTTGCTTTCATAGAATTACTTAGGGAGTGTTCCTTCTGCTTCTATCTTCTTTAACAGGCCTTACAGTATTGGTGTTATTTCTCCCTCAAATGCTTGGTAAAATTTACCAGTTTATCATCTCAGCCAAGTGCTTTATGTTTTGGAAGGTTATGAATTATCTGTTGGGGTAAAATTGCAATATTTCCAGAATCTCTTGCCTGGCCTTAATGCATCTCTAGATCAATAGGTGTTCCCAAGGGGTGGAAAGGAGTAGTCCAGCTCCGTATCAATAGCTAATTACAAGGGCAAGGAGGGCATATCTGGACTGGAGAGGTTGAGTGGGGTCTGTTCTTCTGCAGCCGGGTTGTGAGAGACATGGGCAAGCATAAATGGATGTAAGCAATAAATGGGTTTCTCCCACTTTATTTCTCCCTTTGACTGATTTCGGTTTCAAAGGTATTTTGCCCTGGGATCTTCCCCCCAGAGTTAGGTCTGTTCAATTACTTTAATAGATATAAGCCTATTCAAACTGTCTATCTCTTGTGTGAGTTTTGATTAGTTGTATCTTCCAAGTTATTGGTCTATATTTTGTAATTTGTGGACAGAGTTGTTCATAATATATTTTTATTATCTGTTTTACGTCCATGGGATCAGTGGTGTTGACCTTTCTTTCATTTCTGATATTAACAATCTGAGTCTTCTCTTTTTTTCTTTCTCAGTTAAACTGGTTAGAGGTTAATTTGATGGATCTCTTCAAAGAATCAGCTTTTGGTTTCACTGTTTTTTTCCCATTATTTTCCTGGTTTCACTTTCATTGATTCTGCTTTAATTTTTAAAAATTTCATTTCTTCCACTTACTTTGGACTTGATGTGCTCTTCTTTTGCTAGCTTCTAAGGTGAAGCTTAGATTGTTGACATTAGATCTTTCTTTTTTCTATATATTGACTCTGATATAAATTTTCCCTAAGTACAACTTTTTTATGGTATAACAAAATATTTTGATATTAATTATGTACCAGTAGTACATTTAAACTAAATATAATACTTCAAAACATTCTGCATAAAGAACTTATAGATCACACTTATTTAATAAAATGTCTAGTTCTTTACAAACATATTTTTAATTTAAGAACTTACTACAATAAAATTTTCAAAACTAAACAAAAAATACTAAATAAGTTACTTTATGATACAAGACATCATAAACATATTTATGTAACACAGCAGGCAGATTTTGTGTTAGAAACAGAATGGGGGAAACCTAAACTTAACAAAAAATTCAGAAATGATATTCATAAATTTCTGGTTAACTGATGTTTAATATTGTTAGGGACCAGGGGTCTTTGAGCATCAAATTTTGTTTATGAAAACAAAAACTGCCCCAAACATGAGAAGTAGACTTTTCTACCTCAGCAAAGACTTTTTTCCGTTACAATTCAGAATCCTGCTATTCATTTGTCAAATATATGAACAGTATCTGGTTTAATTTTTTAACTCAACTACCAATTTCACCCTTCAGACGCTTATTCTGTTACATTTCCTCAAAAGCTTTTTTCCAGTGAACTTAGGGCCTATGATAGGGAAGATACTGAAACATACTTAGATAAAAACTGGTCTTAGGAATTTGTTATATAGTAGGCAAATATTTATTGAAGCCTACTATATTTCCAGGTCTAGAAAGTGCATGACAGACAAAAGGCCTGCCAGACACAAGGCTAGTGAGGTCACTTTCTAGAACAGAGTAGGTCAAGCACTAGTTCTCAATCACTATGAGCTTTCATTTCATCTTATGGAGTTGCATACACATTGGTTTCCTTTCCTCTGTAAGGGCAAATAAAATCTTCTCTCCTGCCTATCATTCTTTAGATTCTAGTAAGGGGAATTTTGAAAACTAATGTTGATGAAGCCTATACTTTACTTTCTCTAATTGCCTTCTCCTTATGACAATGGCAAATATTTTGTCTTCCCGTTCATTCTTTCCAACATACCCTCTGCAGTGTTGCCTATCCATTTGGCTTTTTCTGTGAGACTGTTTCAGCTTTCTGTTCTCCTTCACTGTTGTCTTTTGTTTCTTTCTCCTTATTAGAAGCCTAGTCATCTGGGCTTCACCATCTTCCCTTTCCTGGCTTCTCATTCACTTGAGTGACTCATCTTAACACTTCCTCAGTGTTGGGTTTTCAGTAAGGATAATTAATCAGCATTTGCAATTAGCATTTCCTTGAGCTTTGTTTTGAACTTCAGATCTCCTTTACAATAATCTCTTCCTGAATGCTATTTAAAAATATTCTCCTCAAAAAAACAATGGTTTCTTGAGTATTCCTGTTTTAAAGGTTCTATTAAAAGAGACTGATAAAGGAATGCATAATTCAGCAAAGATTGCTTCAACTTTATTTTCAATTCCCACCATTACAAGTATTGGATTTTGTAAGATCACAGTTAAAATTGTTTGGTATTACATAACAATTCTGGACATAAGGGTTAGATAAAAAAATTCAATTTCTGGCACTTTAATATTAAATTAAAATTTGTATGAATACATGAATTTGAAACTTAAAAAACCCATTGATAAAAAGTTAAGATATTAAGTTTTCATTGATGTGCTATATTCTTTATCATAAACAATCTATAATTAAGAATTCAACTATTTTTTAGTCTGCAAGTCATATGCTATCAAGCAAACTTCTATGTATAATCCATAATCCTTTATGAATTTTAACTCAAAGACGAATAGGAAGACTCAGCAAACTTTTAAAATTTTTCCAAATGTTCTCAAAAAGAATTTTCAGAAGCATCCTCCAGATATAAAACACAGTTGGATAATCCATTGACCCCAAATGAACTACTTGTGTGTGCTGAGAGGTATCAATGAAAGACTATGATCTTCTGAGATGGTACCTTCAACACACAAGCATTAATCTTTTTCACATGAAGAGTGTGAATACAGAATGACAGAGTCACCTTTCACTATTTCATATACTATTGGTGCTTACAACAATACTAATATTTATTTTGAAAGGTAATCCTAGGTTCCAAATAGCTGGTATTATCTACTTCCAATACGATCTCTAGGAATAATTCCCAGTTTGGAAGCATGCTTTAGAAAAACATTTCTAGCGGTCTGTGTAGGATTCATTCCTAGTCCATCATTGGTAATGATTGCACTTGTTGGAGGAATTTTAAATTCTGCTGAAAACTTTAAGACTGCTGTAAAAGGTGTACTTTTAGGAACAGTGAGTACTTTGTATGGCAGCCGTGGTTCCAACATCAGTGTAATTTTAAAGGAAACCTTGGACATGGTGAAGCCTGTCTGGATGGAGAGTCCCTGCCAACACTGCCGGTGGCACCCACTAAGCACAACTTTTGCTGCATTCAATTAATTTTGAGAACTTGTATTTTTATTTTCATGTGATTCAAAGTATTTTAAAATTTCTCGTGAGATTTCTATTTCTCTGACCCACGTACTATTTAGAGGCATATTGTTTAATCTCTATAAATATTTTGGGATTTTACAGCTGTTACTGATGTCTATTTTAATTCCACCATGATCTGAGATGATACTTTGTGTCATTTCTATTCTTTTAAATTCGTGAAGGTGTATTTTAATGACCCATGAATGTGATCTAGCTTGTAAATGTTCCATGTGAACTTGAGAAGAATGTGTATTCCCCTATTGCTGGATGAAATATTCTGTAGATGTCATTTAGATCTAGTTGATTGATGGTGCTATTTGGTATAATTATACCCTTACTGATTTTCTGCCATCTGGATATCTTAATTACTAATAGAAGGGTGTAAAATCTCCAGCTATAATAGATTTGTTTCTCTTTAGAGTTCTAACAGCTTTTGCCTCATATTTTGTTGCTCTCGTTAAGTGCATACACTTAATTAATTAAATTAATACAGCTATGTCCACTTTCTTTTGGTTAGTGTTAGCATGCTGTATCTCTCTCCATTCCATCCTTTATTTTTAATCTATATGTACCTTCATATTTAAAGTGGGTTTCTTGTAGACAACTTAGAGTTGGGTCTTGTTTCTTTATCCACTGTGATAGTCTCTAGAATTTTTTAATTGGTGTGTACAAACCATTCACATTTAAAGTATTTATTGACAAGGTGGGTTAATATTGACCATATTTGTAACTCTTTTATATTCATTGACCTTGATTTTTTTCTTTTGTGTGTGTTCCATTTTTTATTTTTATTTTTTGCCTTCTCTGGCTTTAATTGAGTATTTTCTATTACTCCATTTCTTTCTTAGCACATCAATTATACTTTTTAAAACTTTTACTGGTAGCCTTAGAGTTTGCAATATACACTTACAACTAATCCATGTCCATGTTCAAATAACACTACCATTTCACAGGGAGTGCAGGTACCTCATAACAGAGTACACCCAATTCTTCTTTCTTATCCTTTGTAAGACTGCTATCGTTCGTTTCACTTTTTCATAGACTACAATTACTCAACACATTATATGAATAATATATTATTTTGAACAAACTTTATTGTTGGATCAATGAAAAATAAGAAAAATAAAAGATTTTGTTTTATCTTCATTTATTCCTTCTTTAATGGTCTTCCTTTCTTTATGGAGACCTAAGTTTCTGACCTATATAATTTTCCTTCTTTCTGGAGAATTCTTTTTTTAACATTTAGCAGGTAACAAATTCCTTCGATTTTTAACAACGTCTCATTCAGTTTTGAAGGATAATTTTGCTGGATACAGAATTCTAACTTGCGATTTTCTTTCAACTATTTAAATACAGTTGTTGAACAACATAGGTTTGAACTGTGTGGGGTTTTATATGCAGGAGTTTTTTTTCAATAAATACACTGGAAATTTTTTTTGAGATTTGCAATAATTTGAAAAAACATTTTCTTTTATTTAGCATACTTTATTGTAATAATACAGTATATAATACATAAAACATACAAAAATATGTTAATTGACTGTGTATGTTATTGGTAAGGCTTCCAGTAAGGCTATTAGCAGTGAAGTTTTCAGAGAGTCAAGAGTTATATGCAGATTCTGACCTGCTTGCATGGTTTCTGAAGAGAAATCAGATGAAATTCTTACCCTTGTTCCTCTACGGGTAATGTATTTTTATTCTGGCTTCTTTCAAGATTTCTCTTTGTCTCTGATTTTTTGCAGTTTGAATATGATATGCCTAGGTGCAGATCTTTTTAATATTTATCCTGCTGTGTGTTCTCTGACCTTCTTAGATCTATGCTTTGGTATCTGTCATTGATTCTGGAAAATCCTCAGCCATTATTACTTCAGACACTTCTTTTGTTTCTTCCTTTCTTTTCCTTCTGGTATTCCTATTATACACATTAAACATTTTGTAATTTCCCCTCAGTTCTAGGATATTCTGTGTCATTTTCTTCATTCTTTTCCTTTTTATTTCAGTTTGGGAAGTTTCTACTGGTGTATTTTCAGTTCAGTGATTCTTTCCTCAATCATGTGCAGTCTACTCATGAGCCCATTCTCCACTCCTGTTACAGCATTTCTGATTTCTAACATTTCCTTTTGATTCTTTCTTAGAGTTTCCATCTCCCTACTTACATTACCCATATATTCTCACATATTATGCACTTTTTCCATGAGAGTCTTTAGCATATTAATCATAGTTAAATTTCTGGTGTGATAATTTCAAAATATCTGCCCATATCTGAGACTGGTTCTGAAGGATGATTTGTCCTTTGGTTTGTACTTTTTGGCTTTTAACATGCCTTATACTTTTTTGAAAGTCGAAAGTCAAACGTGATGTATTGGGTAAAAGAGATTGAGGTAAAAAGGCCTTTACTATGAGGTTTTGTGCTAATCTAGCTAGAAGTTAGGCTAATTTTATGATTTGTTGTAGCTGTGGTGTCAGAGGCTAAAATTTGCTCTAATGCCCTTGTTTATCCCCCCCAAATTCTGTTGGTTTCAGAAGGTTTAAGAAGATATTCCTTCTTAAATCCCGGGGTTTGCAGTTCTTTCAGCTGCAATCTCCTGTCTTTACACAGGGGCCCTACTGATATGGTAGTAGACTGTAAGGGGAGGAGAAGTAGACTGTAAGGGGATTCTATAATCCTACGATTAGCTTTCACTTTTAACAAGCCTGTGACCTTGAGCTGTGACCTTTAAAAGTGCTAATTAGCTTTTCTCACCCACACCACTGTAGGTAAGACAGGAAGGCTAGTAGAATTGGGTATTTTCTTTCTCCCAGGTTGGTTAGGCTATGATAAAATGCAAATCAATTATGTTCTGGTAAAATCATTTCCCTTGAAGGCAGGTCTTAGTTCAGGAGAACAAACAGCTTTGGGCTTATTCCACAATGGCTAGTTTCCCCTACCCTGCTTGAATCAGGAAGGAGTTTTTCTCCGATCTACCTAAGAAACTGGTGGGGTTCCTGGAGGTAAAATTCATGAAAAGGGGTTTTTATTTCTCAAACTCGTACATCCTTTCCAGCAGTTTGCCAATTTCTCTTTAAGTGCTCCTACCAGGATCTAGCAGTGGTGAATATATTTGCCTGTCTTTCCAGTTTTCAGGTAAAAAACACAGGGCAGTTTGCCCTGTGACCTCAATTTTCTGATTGATTTAAGGAATTGCTGAATTTCAGTTCCTTCACATTTTTTCTTGTGATAATGGGAGTGAAAACTTCTAAGCTCTTTAGATGTCAGACCAGAAACTGGAAGCTCTTTTCAGTCTTTTTTCTACAAAATGTGTGTAAAAGGGTCTCCTTACAAAATTAACAGCATTTAGTATATACATTTTGTAAACTATATTGTAAAATTAAAATATCATGAACATTTTTGTGCCACTAAATATTTCCTCCATACCTCATGCCTACAGACATGATTCTACAACCAATACAGTAAAAACCATAATTTATTACTGATCCCCTACTTGGGGGTAGTAGGTTGCTTCCTTTTCTTTTTCTAAAAAAAGTCCATGATAAAAATCTAAGTAAATTCCTTGTATATAAGCCTCTGTATGCAGCACTGGTTATTTTCTGAATATAAATTTTTAGAAAAAACAGAGTTACTGGGTCAAATGTTTTGAATGTTTTCAAATTCTTGATCTATATGTAAAACTGCCTCCAGAAAAGCTACCCTAATTTACCTTCCCATTAGCAGTAGGTGAGAATGCCCACCAGTGGATATTTTAATTGTTTAAAACTGTCAAATTGGTAGAGAAAAATGGAACCAGTATTTCTTTTTTTCTTTATCAGGAAGGTTGAATATATATTTGTTTTTAGTAAGTATTTTTATTTCCCCTTTCATGATACTACCATTATTGTTAACATTGTTATTTTAATCTACATTTTTGGACTAAGAGTGGGTGTGTAAAGCCATTTATTTACTGAAAGAACTCCGAAAATCAAAATTACTTTTTAGGCAAAACTATGTGTTTTTTAGCCAAGTCTTAGAAATACAATTTTCTTGGTACAGACACAAATTAGACTTCTGCTCCACAATATTCTAGAATGGAATAGGAAATATTTTACAAATTTTAATAATCCCAGCATCTTTAACTGATGAGAGATGATCATGAATTTCCTAAACAAACACCTAAATGAGGCACCATTTGCTACCTTCTACGTGTTGGTAAGAGGAGACAGTATTTCTCTACAGTAAATTTATAACCTGATTCTCAAACATAAGTGATTTGCATTTCACATATACAACTTACCTAGACATTTCAGAAAGAATCTGAATATACCCTTAGAAGCAAATCCATGAAGGGGGCTATTTAAATGGCATTAGTAGGTTAGAATAAATGTTCTGTTCATTTGGGTCTACAGCCACTAACTCTTGAATGGAGGTAAACCAGAAGTTACTTTGTCAATTTAAATCCACACTGCAAAGTAAGATGGGACCTTGCATGTTACCCATTTGATTCTGGATTACTTTGCTTGCTTGGATTAGCTCACCTAGAGGTTGACATCTGATGTACCTACTTAAAATATGAAACTGGATGAGCGTTCAACTAGCAGTTTTGTGATCTAAATGGTTGGGTGATTTATCCCTTTGTTACTTGATAAATAAGAAATGGGATAATGAAAAATAAAGATCTCTGAAAGACTAAGCAAGTGCTGAAATAAGCTATCAAAATGTGGGTTTCAAGTGCATTTATGTATTTTTAAAATGCACATCCAAATTGCTAAAGGTTCTAACTTGTAGGAAAGTCTGTTTCCCAAGAAACAGTGTATACTTTTGCCACAAGGAGGGTGTTCTTTACATATCACGTGTAAGCAAGTTGCCATCTCTTCTCTGAAATGTCTTTACAACAGGTTATTTCACAAACAC